TATAACCAGCTGGTTCACATTTAAGAAATTATATATTTGGAATAATTTTCCTTTAAAGTTTAATTGTAACGTTAGATAGGCCAATATAAAATAATATTTATTAAATAAAAACGAATATAAATTTGTATTAAAAATTTATTCTTTTAATTCGCCTAACAAATATTCTAAAATCAGAAATAGTTATATTAAATCTAATTTGTTAATTATAGACAAATCTGTTGCAAACTGTTTCTTTTTTTAATTCAAACAAATCAAATGACTTGTATTGAATGTAACTGGTTTATCTCAATGTAACTAGCATAAATGTAAACTAACTGCATTCAAAACAACCGATTCCTTTCATAGAAAGTAATTGTTTTTTCAGTGTGCCGCCCGAATTCGACATCCGAGGTAGAAAGGCATTGGCGAAAAATGTCAAGGCACCCCCTGCCTTGATAAATTGTTTAAGTAGTTCCGATAATTTCCTTGAAATTCTATCTCAACGAATATTGTATGGACTCTTTTCCGCTAAAACAAAATACAAGCAGGAGAAGACAATAATGTTTTATAATAAATAACTTCATCCTGTTCAAGACAGAAAACATTCTTTTAACTAAGTTCTCCTTATAAGGGACAATTTTATAGTTCACAAGTTGGCTTCCATGTAGTTCTTCAGGGGAACTCTGAAAGATAAAATATTTCATATTTTATATGAACGAATAAGGTATATAAAAATAGGGACTTATAAAAAATACCTACTTTATCTATATTATTTTTCCCATACCGTTATTAAAAAAAACTTGAAAATAAAAAACACTCCAACGAACATAAGAGACTATACATGTCCATAATGGTGACCTGACTGACCACGCAAGTGAATCTCTATGACCTGCCACAAAAAGTTAATATCTAAACACCACTTCACGCGTCCCATCTTGTAACGTCCTTCCTGATGTTCAGAGGCACATCTTCTAGAAGAACCAGAAGACAATCTTGCAATAATCGTAGTTAGCTTTCTAGCAAGCAGCACGCCCAACAAGGATATCGCTGACACTTTTACTGAGAATTTGGAAAATTTGTTTCCCTATCAGCATGAGGATTTTCAACTAACTAAACATGAATACTGTTGTTAATTCAATTTCGAGAAAATATAGCCTCCTCCATAATCAAAATGTTTCTGATAAAGTTGCTGTACGAGCCACTTGCCAAATTGAACTACAACCGATTTCCCGCAATGTTGTTCAAACTTTTTTTTTTTTGGCTCAGTCCAGCTTAGCATGAAATTTTTCGAGAAATTTTGTTGGGTCTTCGTTAACACGACTCAGAATTGTTCCTCTCGTTACACGTTGTCCGGTACCCTAGTTCTTCCCAGATGACCTCCATGATATACAGGGTGATTCATTAACAATGGGAAAATCGAAAGTTGAAGATACTACACGTGAAATGGTGACCATTGGCACAAACATGCCTTATCCGAAAGTTGATAGTTTCGGAAATACAGGATGTTAAAAGTTAAAATTTTAAATAGTTTTTTTGCGATTATTCTGAAAATATGTAGGTTAGGAACTTGAAAATTTGTGAAACTATATTTTTTTAGGCGACAAATAAGTTGCGTGTTGTAATTTCAGTATTGTTCATAGAGGGCGCCACTTACGACCAATTTTATCGAAAATTTAGTTAATAACTTTTTACCCTGTATGTCTAATATAAAACTTGATTCAAAACTTGAAAGGGCAATCATTTTTCCATTTATTGTGTATTCTTGTTTCATTTCGGTATCTCGATCCGTTTTCGAGAAAAATCGATTTAACGAACGTTTTGATAATACGAGAAATTAAAAGCGAAACAAACCAAGTGTTTCTTCGTGTTATTACAACAATTAACAATAAAACAAATGAAATTTGTAATAATGATTTAAAGTCAGTGTTCGAAGAATCCACCGTTGACATTTACACACTTTACACAACGTTTTCTGAGAGATCTTCGAGTTTGAAACAATATATTGGGATTGCGTTTGACTTCGTTGGCAGCGATTTGTATTCTTTGCCACAACTCTTCACACGACTCAATAGATTCTTCCAAATAGAAAAATTAAGAGGACTGAAGTTCGTACTTCTGGGTGGCCAAGTAAAAATACTTCCACGGCTTGAAGAAGTTCCACTTTATTTAAGAAGAGACATGTGGTTCATGCACGACGGAGCTCCACCGCATTTTTCTTGGCCAGTGCTTGCATATTTAGATGCAGTTTTTCCCAATCGCTGGATTGGCCATGTAAGCATTTTTGCTTGTCCGTCCTGAAGTCCGGACTTCAATCCTCTCGATTTTTCTATTTGGTCTCGAATGGAAGATATAGTTTACAAATAATCTATTGGCTCGTGTGAAGAGTTGTGGCAAAGAATACAAATCGCTGCCAACGAAGTCAGACGCAATCCCAATACGTTGTTTCAAACTCGAAGATCTCTCAGAAAACGTGTAAAGTGTATCAGTGTCAACGGTGGATTCTTCGAACAATTACTTTAAATCATTATTACATATTTTATTTGTTTTTCTGTTAATTGTTGTAATAACACGAAGAAACACTTGATTTGTTTCACCTATAATTTCTCATATTATCAAAACATAGTGTTCGTTAAATCGATTTTTTTCGAAAACGGATCGAGATACCGAAACGAAACAAGAGTACATAATTAATGGGAAAATGATAGTTCTTTCAGGTTTTGAAACAAGTTTCATGTTAGACATACAGGGTAAAAAGTTGTTAACTAAATTTTCGGTAAAATTGGTCGTAAGTGGCGCCCTCTATGAGCAATGCTGAAATTACAACACGTATCTTAGTCGTCGCCTAAAAAAATAAATTTTCACAAATTTTCAAGTTCCCAACCTACATATTTTCAGAATAATCGCAAAAAAACTATTGAAAATGTTAAGTTTCAACACCCTGTATTTCCGAAACTATCAACTTTCGAATAAGGCATGTTTGCGCCAAAGGTCACCATTTCACGTGTAGTATCTTCAGCTTTCGACTTTCCCATTGTTAATAAATCACCCTGTATATTCCCGCAAATCGCCGATATTTTTGCTCCTTTTGCATAACTCCCAAACTAGCTGGAATACAACATTGATATTGATGACACTCTCCATAAATAACTGTCAACTAATTTACTGTCATAAAGTGGACCACTAGAAGCAAAATTATTCAACAAAATATTACGGTTAAAATCCACGACCATAATATCAGCTAAGAAAATAAAAAAATTCACAGAAGAAAGGGAGAAACATTTGAAGAGATATTAGGTTTCTGTATCGGTCCATTTCAATTACACTGTAAAGCCCGGCTCGATTGTTTTTTTAAACCATGAAAAACTGTGGCTTCCTTATTTTAGAGTTATTAAAAAAATAGAGTTGAAGAAAATATTGATTTCAGTAGTTTTTAAAAAAGAAAGGATTTAAAAAAAGACAAACAGTTTATAAAAAACCAATCGTAACGCATCATGTAGCTATCTTCTTGATGTAGTGTTGCCTGTTGTTCTCGGGCTAGCTTTGTGGAGGTGGACCCGCTATTAGAACTCCTAGGTAGGCCCGCCCTGATCATTTATGTTCTTGTTAGTTCTAAAGCTACTAATGGAACAGCTTCTTACACAATGGTGATCCTCTGAGAGGTCCGCAGTGGTCTATCTGGGCGCATCCAAAGCTTCATTTCGCTACCAGCATCATCAGTGATGACTCTACAAACGCTTCGCCGTTAATGAGATTGCTTGCGACCTCGTCACCGATCTTATAGCGTCGGTATCAATGCGCGCGCACTTAGGCCTGCCCATTACAATGCTGGGAGCCGCGTGCGCTTCTACTCCTGAGGTATGGGGTTAGAAGGCGTGAGCTTGCATCCTCCGGGCACCTTTGTGTGCGTGCAGATATTTACGCAGTGCAGTAATGGGAGTTGAGTGGGAGGTATCTCTTGCATCTTCAACGACGTCGCTACCTCCCCGCTCGCCGCTGGAGCTATGCAGTAGGATAAAAGACGGTGGCCTCGGCTAAGCTCACGCCACCGCTACAAGCGGTTTCATACCTGGGTGTGGTCTCAAATTCGTCTGCGGTATCCCCTTTACCGTTGCATGCGCTTTTAAACGTGCGCAGTGGTGTATCACACATTCTTCTCTCATGCCGTTGGTTGTTCTTTAGGAGAGGTAACCAGGTTCTACTTATCCTAAAGCCTTCTTTTCGGTTCATACTACGGTATTTGGATGTTGTTCGATTTCCAATGCTTCCCGTCTCACTAGATTGTAAAATCTTATCGTTTTCGGTCGTCTTCGAAATTTATTCTGTTCATCTAACGCATCTTGAGCGATGCCTGGTTTTACAGGCTGCTTAAGCTTCATGTTCCTTCTTTCCTTTTCTTTACCGCGTGATGATTCAAGTTGACTTGCAGGTATCTACCGATATGGGTGAATTTCCTATAGAAACTTAATAATCAATTCAGATCAAGATCAATCATCTGTTTTATCTAGCAGTACGCTATCTTCACTGTATTTCCATTTGGTCGATCCGATGTTGATTCGATTTAAATTGAAAAATGGTATAAATAATTAAATAATATATTTACTCCATTTGTGGTGGTACTAAAGTTGAACTAAGCATTTGAAACTGCTTATATTGAGAAGAATTACATTTGATTACATTGTACCCAATTTTTACCATACGTTTATCTGTCTATTACATATACAAAATACAACTTTTATAATAGGTATATCTATTTCCAGGAAATTTATTTATTGCAATATCCTTGGTCGGTTTTTCTTTATGGTTATTATTGCTAGTAATATTACGTATTAGTATTATCTCGGTAGTGGTTCTCAGTTATAACCTTGATGATATACCATAATAATCAAATCCCTCTATCCTCATATTTTGCTATCTCAAGCAGAATATCCTGATAAGATCACGCTTCAATCAATCGGCAATGGGCGATAGGCAGTGAACGCGAATAAATCAGCCTGGTTGGGTCGCGTCCCCGTCGCGTAAGTCAAAACGCTCAACATGGGCCCCTACAGGGACTGTAACGAATCGTTCCCAGATTTTCCACCTCACATACCACCGATGCCCCATCATGGTCACCATTTCCCTCGTCCTTGCCCCCCAAACCTCTACTACTCCCACACGTACTACAGGTATGCCGCTATTGCGGTGTTGACTTGTGGCTTCATCGCTTTGTTGGTCATCTTCTGGAAGTGCTGCAGAAGTAAAGGAGGTAACTCTGTTTGGGAGAAGTGGTTGCTTTGCTTTTTTTTAATGGTTGTGCCATGCACTGAGTCAAGTGTATTACGGTGATTCGCGATAAGTTTTTTTATTAAAGTTAATTTTATTATTTTAAAAGCCGGTTGGTGTCTACATAAAACATAATTTATAGTTTTTACAGAGTTTCAGTGCTGAATTAATTTGTTAAAAGTAAATATGTACAACGTAACCATAGGCCGGAATAAATATCAAACAACAGTTCAGTATCAGTTGAGTTGGAAAAGTATTCTTAGAAATAACTAATAACTTTATATTAAAATATTTATCATTTCGTATTTAGGAGAACATGTTACAACACTGAAGAAAAAATAACGGAGTCAGTACAATACCAAGGAAAAATAAATAAATATAATTATATGTCACAAATATTAGTTTGAGGTTGTGAGTGCTGTGGCCTTCACAAGAACCAGAATTTTAATAATTGAAACGATGACAAAACTTTCTCTAACACCTCTGTTTTAATTTTCTAAACAGTTAATGCAATGTTTGTTAAATGTTGATGAGTTTATTCTATGTCTCTGTATTTCTACAGACAAATAAAATGTCATACCATCTTAATAATTTCTCTTTCAGAATTTTTGTCTAAATATAATCAAAATTTGAAACCCATCTATTGCCGACGCCCTCAGTTTTTTTTGTGGAATATTTTTGTTTTTTCTAAAATGTTTGTCAAGTCCCGGTGTACCTATAATGGCATTGTTTTTTCAAGGAGCAAGTTTCTACTTGGATTATTTTGAAAACTACTGATTTCAGTATGAACGCCAAAACAGGTCATTTTTGATTGTGAAGCAGAATGCAACCCACCACAAATTTTAAATTTTAAAGTGCAATTTTCCAATATCTGTTGGTTGAAATTTAAAAAATAAAATAAGACCATTAAATAGAAAATTAAGACCTAAACAATGTCATTTCATCTCCTACTACTTCTTAACAATCCTTTTTGAGCTGTCGTTACACCGTTTTCGGTGTCATAATGAAATGAACTTGTGAAATGTTTATATCCTCTTCGCTAAATTAGTTTTATTACAAAATTATATAAATTCATGACCATATATTGTTAATTTTGAATTACACTGTAGAAATATTTTATTGTAACCTTTGAATGAACAGAAATTGTTATCGCTTATAGCTAAGTTTACTATTCAAATTCAATCAAATGCTAATAGTTACATGTCACATTTTTATCTTAAAAGATTAGTTAAGGATTATTCATTCACGTTATTGAATGAAAAAAAAAAAACAAAAAATATGTTGATATGTGTCTATATTTTATTTTGATCAAGGCATAATATGACGCAAAAGTTTCTTCCCAAATTATTCCCAACGAAATATATTTTTAAACGATTTGCTCGTAATTTATTTAATAATGCGAACCTTTAATTTATGTCAACATTGATTCTATTCAAAACGTATTCACTATAAATTATTGGTAAGTAGATACTTTAAAGGTACTAAGTGAATCCACTAAGTAAAATTATTGAGTACATTTTCACTTAATAAGATCCACTTCTTATTTGTGGAAGGGCGAAATGGGCGTTGACTATTAGACGCCTTCATTATAGCCATCCTTGTCTATCACATGGATTTCTATGGCTTACTTTATCGCTCTCACGTAACTTGTGATGGACCAACGGTACTTTCCTACACTGTATGATATTTGTTTAGAATACACTATGAAAGTTTTGACCAAATATTAACTTAAATATTTTGTTATGAAATGAAGTCCCTCTAATGCAGTTAAACATTTTATATTGCACTGAAACTAGTTGATATACACACTTTTACAATACTATAACTGTATACTGTAGTAAGATAATATATATGTATATCTAAGTCAAGAATAATAAAATTTACTGAAAACCAAAGGTAATTTGTTTATCAGGTTTAATAGCGGTTTCAATTTAATTAAAACACACACAATTTATTATTTATAATCAGATAATTATTTTGTGTGTATAATTTGCATTGCCTATTGAAGATATACAGAGCCTTTATAAATATTTACAAGCCAAGTGACCATCGAACTTAGGCAACCCAACATTGATTGCATTGGTACTGGTAACGAAAATTCCCTAGATCTTGGCGTCACTAATGACTCGTTTACAATGACCAATAACAAACCGTTACGTCTACGCTCAAGATAATGCGATAGCTGATTGGTTGAATAGTATCTCGTGAAAAATTACAACAATCACTGCCGATGAAACAGAACGTTGTGTTTTAATGTAACCTTGATCTTACTATTTTAATAATTTTTAATTTTACCGAAATTTAATGGCCAACATGAAGGAAACAAAATTACTGCTTCACACAAAAGTACTGGTCACGTGGCTTGGAAACATTATGAAGGGTCTGTATTTGTTGAAAATAACAATCCATTCTGCTTCGGGATAAGGGAGCCTCTTTTATGTTTTAAGGGGAAGGTAAAATATATACTAACAAGAAAAAACTACTCTTAAAATGCAAAGTGAGATATAGCCTCCGCAATATTGTACCGAGAAGCAATGTATTGTAGAAAAGGTGTTACTTTTTTGTTATTCCCACTCTCTTGACTGCCCCCTAGTTTGTTTGCTTGTACGCCTACGATTTTCATTCCCGAATAAATAATTCATTTTAAGATTTTTATCTCCTTTGAATTTCAGGTAAAAAAATTTGTTTTCAACTTACTGAAATAGAAAGAATGCTGACTTTACATTTGATAGATAAATTCTGTATATAAAAATGAAAAAATAAGATTTCGGGAACACAGTATCCAAAATGCTTCATAATAGGGTACTATGGTTGTTTAAATATTATCCCCACAGATTATTTTAAGTAGTAATCGTAGTAGTATAAAGACGTTTCTCCAAATATAGAAATTAAATGATCGACATTCTCTATCTCAGTGAATTTAAGATACCTACACTGTAGATAAATCGGTCTGAGTTACAGCAAAAAGGTACGAAGTGAATCCATTGAGTGAAATTGAGTTTTTTCTCAGTAAATATTGGTCATTTTGAAAATTTTCCACATAAAATTTTAGTTGTACTCATACTAATAGGAAAATTTCATTCATTCGGGTGTGGACAGAAATTGATACATTATTGAATGAAATTCAGTGTAAAAAGTCCAATTTTCTTACAGAGTAGTAGAGTTCTCTAGACCAAAAGAGACAAACACTCTTTTAAAATGAATGTTGTATCGAAAATGTTATAGGCGCATGCAAAAAAAGTTATGAAGTGGTAAATGTGATAGATCTCAAAAAAGTAACATCCTATATATTCCAGTAACATACTGATGGCGAAGTAAAGTCTCTAGCTCAAAATGTTTTGGAGTTGAGCCCAGGAATTTCTGCTTTTACGTTGTCTACGTGGTTTAAAGACACCCTGTATATAATATAGCAGTGCATAAAACTGTTCTTAATTTAATTTATAATGTATATTTTTTACTTACGGAATTGTAAAATTTCCGTAATGCATAAAATTATTATTTATTATACACATACTGTATCAATGCATAAATTAATTAAAAAAAATAATACTGAAAAAATTGTAGATAATTTCAACTTTTAGCATCATTAACTTCAGTTTATGAAAATGTGTTATTTAGCACGTTACACGCAAATCCTTATTAATAGTGTGAGTTTTATTTTATAAATCTATTTATCAATAGAGTTGCAAAATGGCTTAAAATCTCATAAAATATCACAATTTATATAAATTTGACCTGATTCTACATCTTTAGATATTTATCGAATAAGATAAAGATTTTATCAACAAAATTATCACAGAGACTCTTCACTAGGTAAAAATTGCTGTGCTGTGTCATGTAAACATTTAACGTTTCTACTTGTCATAATTAATTTCATTTTTTAAATAACATATTTTATATGAAAAATTAATATTTTTTATTTTAAATTTATTCGTCGCCTTAGCATTGGATAAATAGAAACAATTTTTAGGCTTCTTCCTGTAATATACATCAAAAAACATTTTTTGTGGACTTTGGAAATTTTTGTATTCTGTTGCCAAATAATTTGAATTTGACTTCTTTAATTTAAACTTTTTTAACCAAGTTTTTCATTGTATCTACTATTATATTTATGAAAGCTGTTTAATTAATTGGTGTAAATTGGTTTTTAGGTATAATTCAGACATTTATATTTTACCCTAGACCTAGAGAATGAGTGTCATTTACTTCATTAATAAATCTTAAATTTATTTTTATTTTCCTTTCATATAAACACGTCGTCACCTGTCTTGGAAAAATAATTTTTGTAAAAAAATATTTCCTCTCTAAAAATATCGCAAAATTACACTTAGGTGTCGTAAATATATCGATAATGTAAATTTACATTTTGGGTGAATTACACAAAAATTGTAAAATTACATGGTTGATGTAACTTTACTTGTATTATGTAATTTTGCTTTACTTACAATGGCGTCAAAATAATATATGTACATAAAACTTTTATGAGAGTGTATCTTTATGCACCTGTAATTTACATTTTCTTAGTGATATTCATTCTAAATGTTCTAAAATTATTTGCCTATAAATCTTAGTCTTAATTAATACATATTTTAACACATTTAAAAAAAAAATCGAAAATCAATGAACACCTAAGCTCAGAAAACAGCAATCATGCACGAGAAAAGAATAATATTTCATACGACGTTGATATATTTTAAAGAAAATTATTCTTGACATTAATTTAAATAATACATCGAGGATGGAAAATAATTATTATCAATCGTTCTACGTATGGAATATTTATTCCAACGACAGTATACAAATATTAATTCAACAGTCAAAGGTAAACCGGATCTCGTTAAAAAAATGTTTTTGCTTCTAAAGATGAACAAGGCACGTAAAGATGATGGAAGGGCTAATGTATTAATATTCATACCGTTGCGTTGGTCGTTTGATCCTCCTAATTAATGAAATATACTACCTACAATATGATATTACTAAGAGAAGTCTTAAAGCTAGGGACAGGAAATAAATTAGACATCTTCAATTCTATACGATTTCAAATAAAGGATAGGTATAAACTGTACAAAGTTATAACCACGACTTAATTTAAATATTTTTGTTTTTTGCAGAAATACATTAGATATTTTTATTAAACTTGCATAAAAAATATGCCGGTGTTATATGTATAAAAGTTCACATAGTTTCATCTAAATATCTTAAAAACAAAAATAGTGTTAATGAAAACCTATCTTTAAATTATAACATTATAACTTTGTATTAAAAAAAACGTCGTTGATGTACCCTTTATATTAAATTTGCGTCTGAATACAGCGTGATGATAAAGTTTGGAACAAAATTCATAACTTTTATACTGATTGTTAAAAAAACGCCGAAACAGGTCGATTTTGTTCCTGGGAGAGACATCTTTTAAGATGATTCAATTGTATATAGGGTGACCCAGAAAAGCTGGACGGCGGACAATAAATTTGTTTTTTTCTTTCTGAACACCCTGTATATTTTTTCATATTCAGATAAAGCTTTCTCTTACGAATACCGTGATGTAAGGTTTGAGGAGTATATCTCAAATAACAAGCGAGATATTGATAGAAAATGACATTTATTTCAAAAAATAATTTAATGACATTTTTCGTAGAAAAAATTGTACTTAAAAACGAAACAAATGCAAGTATTTAACGAAAAAAAAAAACGAAAAAGTTTGCAAGTTTAGGAATAAAAATTAGGGTTCTTTTTGTTGGCACTCAGGCCACTGATAAAAATTATTAAATTTCGTGTTTTGTTCGCTGCTTAGAAACAAAAACACCACTATTGTAGCGTGACATTTTCACAAATTAGTACGTTATATAACCTTAATAAACTTCGCAAATATATCACTGAATTTTTTGGAGCTTAGAAGGAATGGCACATTTAACTAAATGTGAAAGGATAGACATCTTAATGATGGTTGGATATGGTGATAAGCTACGAACTCATGCGGAAGCATGTGAGCTGTTTAATCAAACACATGCTGACAAACCTCCAATTGCACGATCCACGGTGAGTAAATTGCTCGTCAAGTTTACAGACACTGGATATCTAAGAGATAGGACACGACATTGTCGACCTCAAATCGCTGAAGAAACCAAGTTAAACGTATTGCTGGAAACAACAATGTAGACCAATCATATGTTGTAAAGTTGCTTCGTATAGAAAAGTATCATGGATAAAGTCCAGCTGATACACGCATTAAATGAGGAAGACCCAGACCGCCCGCCAGTTGCACTTTTGTGAACAATTAATGTTACATAAACATAATTTTTTCTGACGAGGCCACATTCTGTTTAAATGACTCAGTACATCGCCATAATTGTAGATATTGGTCAAATGACAATCCCCATTGGGGGCAAGAATTCTAGTCAGCATAAAGGCAAATTAAATGTATAGGTGGTAATCATAGGAATGCGATTTTTAGGTCCTTACTGTTTTGAAGAAAACGTCACTGCTGCTAGATCTTTAGATTTTCTGCGTTTTGAGTTGGTGCCGGCTGTAGCAGTTCTTTTCCCCAACGCTGCAGACGGCGATATACCCCATGAATATATTTGGATTCAACAAGATGGAGGTCCACCTCACTTTGGCTTAGAGATTCGGCAATATTTTGATGATACATTTTCTGAAAGATAATAGGGCGGAGAGGATCTCTTGAGTGGCCCCCGCGTTCCCCCGACTTGACTCCTCTGGATTTTTTCTACGGGGTTATTTAAAATGTAGGGTATACTTTAATCGATTAAACAATTTAGGAGACTTACAACTGAGAATTCGTGCTGAAATGGAAAGAATGAATCAGCCCAGAAATTATTGGGCGTAGTGTGTAAAGTGTTTATACTCACGCCGGTCAGTGCCAATTTGGCTGTTGGTGGAGGACAATTTGAAAATTTACGTTAAATTTCGTTAATTATTTGCACTTGTTTCGTTTCCAAATACAATTTGTTTTATGAAAAATACATTAAATAATTTTTTGAAATAAATGTCATTTTCTCGCAATATATCGCTTGTTATTTGAGATAGACTCATCAAACCTAACATTATTGTATTCGTAAGACAAAACTTTATCTGAATATGAAAAAATATACAGGGTGTTCCATAAGAAAAAACAAATTTATTGGCCGTCCAGATTTTCTGGATCACCCTGTATATAACTGAATCATCTTAAGATGCCCCTCCCGAGAACAAAATCGACCCGTCTCGGCGTTTTTTTTAAAAATCACTCGATACAAAAATTATGAATTTTGTTCCAAACTTTCTCATCACGCTGTATATGTGACATCTCATAAGAAGTGTGTGTCTGTTCTATAATTCAATCGATTGTAGAAATTTCACAAAGTTCCTAATGCCCGCCAGGCAACAATACTATTTTCTCGCTATTTTCACCTCATTCTGTAGGAAAACAACTACTTCGGACCCACTTTACCCAGAAGATCATGTGAATTCCCTGAGATAAAAATGGAATTTGTAGTATCACAGTGATCTCGACATTGTTAACATCCGCAGTACTTGTAGAATATGTTGAAGTAGTATTTATCGAATTGTTCTCCAGCATTTTCAAGCTTCGTGAAATGCACTTTAACCAATATACATCAGATTTTAGTTGCTGGGGACATCTGTTACGATTCGTTGAGCATTTTATTAATTTTCGTGAATGAAATAGAAATTGAAAACAGTATATGATATGTGATAGAATTCGTTCGTAGTTAAATTAAAAAAAATGGATTTTATTGAAAATATAAAATGATGAAGCAACATTGATTTAGGAGTATATTCATTTTCTATAAAATCGAACCAGTTTTCAAATAATCTGTTTTGAAGTAAATGTTACAAAATTCAAATTTGTTTTGTTTCAGATGGAAGAGTGATAGCACAGCCGCCACCACAGGAGCCTGTTAAGCCGTCTCCACCTCCATACAACCCTAACGACTACGACAATCCCCCGCCGTATAATGCCTGTGTCCCGGAAGAACTTCATCAACAACAATATGGAGCAGCAAGTCAGCAGATGTCAGGTAAAAATTAATAAATGCATGCAAGATCTATGTGGATCGCTTTAGGAATTGTAAACAATAGCAACTGACAATAAATAACTTTTCTTCTATCTACAGTATCGAAATACACATACAGTATCGAAATACAATACAATAGAGAAATACAGTATCGTTCGGGCCATTAAGGAAACTGTAACTACAGTCGGTGATTTTGAATAAATTATAAATTGTATTTTCTGCTTTTTGTTTTTTGGTTATTTTATGTCGGCCTATTATTATTATTATATTTATAAAACAAAATTTAGCAAAATTCTCGAATCCACTGATCGTGATCTTAGGTTTGTATAAAACTACAAATGACAGAAGAAAAAAATTAGCATACTTTAAATAAAAACAAAGAGACTAGAACATTATTTGAAATTATTATTGTAGTAGGCATAAACTATTTAAATTTAATAAATGTAGCTTTTTAGTGTTTAAAACAATATATGGCAATAATAACTTAAACAGCACGAAAATGTACATTTTTTATACCACTGTAAAAACGTAATAAATATAAAAGATAAAAGTGACATGTATACAGGGTGTCCCTGAAAAGAATGGACAACGCTTGACTACAGGTTCCTTGGATGAAAAACAAGACTATTTAGCCTAATTTACCTATATACAAAAGTGCACGCCTACTGAGATATAGCCTTCTAAATACAGAACAGATAACCTAGTTTTTTTCAAATAATTTGAAAACTATTTTTCTTAGAAACTTCAAATTTGGTACACTTATTTTTTTATATAAGGGCAATGTAAATGTAGAATTTGGTGAGAATACATATGCAGGATGTTCTATTTCTAGTGCCTGTGCGCCATTGACTATCCCGTAACTTTTTTGTATGTACGCCAATGACGACAGAATTAATATTTTTCAAATTAAGCACTATTTTAGAAGATTTTTTGCCTCTTACAAAATTTTGATATCGTTTATGGATTTCGAGTAAAATTGGTATTTTCTCCAAATTCTATATTTACATTGCCCTTATATAAAAAATAAGTGTACCAAATTTGAAGTTTCTAAGAAAAATAGTATTCAATTTATTTGAAAAAAATAGGTTATCTATTCTATATTTAGAAGGCCATATCTCAGTAGGCGTGCACTTTTATATATAGTTAAGTTAGGCTAAATAGTCTTATTTACATCCAAGGAACCTGTGGTCAAGCGTTGTACATCCTTTTCAGGGACACCCTGTATATCGCTTTGACGTGTGTCCCGTATTAAGCGAGATCCGTAGGGGTGGCCATTTTATGGTAAACAGCCTATATGTATGTACACAAAGGTAACTTTTTTATCTATCCTGAATATATCTGGAGACAATTTGGGATCACTTTGTATATGTTTGAAAAAATGCCTTCAAAATATTTACATAATGTTATATTTTCCTTAAATCAGAAAGAGCCTGTCAACAAAATTTTAAAGACTGGTAACCACAAAATCTCTTGTAATATGCTTTGTTTAGACTCTATTGTGATTGTACTGCGAGAAACACATACACCTTTTTAATTACCACTTAAGTAGGAGATAAGTAGGTACATGATAAAGTGACGCCTTATGTACGTCATTTAAATTCACCAGTTAAAATTATATTCAGTGGTCTATTAATAGTTACTTAATTGTTTTATTTGCTTAATGTATATATAAAAAAGATAACAGAGATGTGTAATTATGACAATAAAATAATTTCAACTCAATTAATGTTATAGTTTAAATTAATTAAATCTAAATGTAAATATAATTATACAGTTAATGCACACGATCACAATCTTGCAATAAATGCAAATTATCAAAGTACGCCTCTTAATAATTCAAACAAGTCTACGTGTAATCTCTTAGCATACAAGGTGGCTAGTTTTTTACGTGCCATCATAAATAATAAGATGTAAGTTACTTCATGTGCGTGAAAGCAAAATAAAGAAATCGAGAATGTTATTAATTATGAGGAAAATAGAAAAAGAAGGGAAGTGTCTCTTCCAAAATTCGTATACTATTTACCACAATATATAATTACGCCAACCAGACATTTTTTTATGTTAGAAGACAACTGCATCCAAATACAGATATTGTAACCCCCAGCTGATAATGTGGAAGGTTTATATGATATTTTTGCCAGAATATCTAATGAAACGAATTTAGGAATTGAATTGTTCTTCCAAAGAATATCCAGTAAGTTGTCATTAAGTACTTAATTATAATTTAATTTAATTATTATAATAATTTCTCAGTATTTTTTCACGTCCGCATTTATTATTTTTTTTTAACATAAATCAAACCTTAACATGCTATTTTATTATTGTCAGGAAAAAATTCAAATTTACATACTATTAATATTGCAGAAATCCAAAATAACCTACATACATAAAAATGGAAAATTGATTATCGCATATGAAAAACATTAGATTTATAAATTTCTTTTGCCCATTTGAATTTCCTCTTCTTTTTGTAGGGAGTGGTTTTTAGGATTATATTAGATTTGCTGAAATATTAGCAACATAAGTCAAGTCGAATTACACAGGCTTTTAGTGATAACGAACCCCTGTGTCTCCGTCACTGGTTGACATATTTGTATGTATAGAATGTTTCTATAATATTGTGAAAAACTTGAATGGGCGATTCCTTACCAAAAAATAAGGGGGATCTTCTGTATAAACGTATTTCCAAGAACGTTGAATCTCAGTTGGAAAAACATAGAAGTATTTTGAATATTACTTAATCTTATCAAAAGCTTTTCTACACTGATATTTTTAATCATCTCGTACTCTCGAAAGGGGTTGAAAACTGCAATCCTTAATGTTTTCTTCGTTATATATTTTTAGTAAACTGAAAATTTGCAATTAAAAAAAAATCTATTTAAAATCTTGGCTTACTTAGAAACTTCCCCGAACTTCCCCGTCTCTTATATTTTTTTACTAAACTCTTTAGTACATGCATTATAAATAAACAAACATTAAAATTAGTCAGTGTACGGATTAGTATATATTTTAGACTGACAAGAACTTTCTTTTTTACCACACTCTTTTTCTAAATTATTCAGTAGGAATTTGCGAAAACACTACATTACTGGCAACAGACAACTATTGAGTGTCAATGACAATATTGTCTTTCAAGTTATTTAGTACGTACAAACAAAAGATGTTTTCGTGTACAATATGCACTCTTTAAATTGATTACTTCACACTTCAGTTGAATAAGGCTAAGGTTCTAACATTGGGATATTATACTTGACTAGAGACATCTTGACAGACAATGCAGTGTTGGCCGGTGCGTTGTCCTGATAAAGAACCCATGACTTTTTCCACAATTCGGGTCTTTTTTCTGATTTTGTTCATGGAGTTTAGCAAGAACCTCGTGGTAGTAATGCTGATTAACAGTTTGACCTTCAAGAACCCAGTGAAGGTACACAATCCCACGGATATAGAAGAAAAAACAATCGTCATTGCTTTGAATTTTGATTTGCTCGTTCAAGATTCAGCGCGTGCGTCATTCGTCTGTAGTACCATCAGTTTCGTTATTTTATAGCCAAACCTGATATACTTAACGAAATTGTAGATCGTCTTACAATAAGCACTACACACACACATTACATACTAGCAACAACAGTTTAGAAGATTGTTAAAAATGAACTTTTGTACCTCTACAGTGTATCGAGACTTTCACTCGATAATATTCCACGTAGAGTGGATCTATATCGATGGATGAAAGGAACAATACTTGAGTTTTTGCACAAATACTTTTTATCGATAAGCCCAGGGATGCCAAAGGAATTTCATATGGACTTATTAAAGCCTGCAACATTCTCTCCTAATATGTGGTTGAAAAATGTCACTCTGATTGTCCCATTCTTTCCTCCGTGTACGTTGACTGCTGAAATTTGTTACATATTGCTTCAAGAGGATCTATCGTTAATGCTTGAAGAAGTTTCTATTTTGTTAAGACAAAAAAGCCATTTCGCTTTGGTTGCCTATCCAAAATGTTGAATAGGTAGAGGAGGAATGCCACCATAGCCTCCACGGTGCTCAGACTTAAGCCCTCTCGATTTATTTTTCTCTGTAGGAGGAATTATGAAACCACATTATCGCGACTTGTGGGACAATTCGACAGACTTGTATATTAATTATATTTATTATTGTATATAATTCTTATTCCTATTTGAAAAAATATACGATTTATTAGTTATAAAGCAGTTCGACTGTGACTTTCACGTTTTCGTAACCGTGTACCTTTAAACCTATACGAACTATGAACTTTTGTTAAGGGTCTTAACTCTGCATCGTTTGACATTACAGATCTGCATCTCGCCATATTTTAGCAGATTGAGTAGTAATCATTATTAATGAATCGTATGCTACCTTAAAGTGAATTCCAAGCCACCTGAACGCTCTTAGTGCTACCAGAATGAAATTTAAATTAATGAACGTGTATAAGAGAAATAGAGAGAGAAAGCAAGTTATGTGGTTTAGGTATTCTGAAACTTTCCTAAGATGCTAAATCAATCTTTCAGTTCTCCTGTATTTGCAGATTCAAATATTCAGGGCAACACAAATTTGCAAGTAGCAAGTGCCATGGATTTTAATAAATAAATACATACGTATACGCCGGGAGTTCAGGAAGTTCCGACATTAAAGGCAATTGATGAAATACTTCTAGAGTTCTGCGATGTGAAGAAATTGTGTGTCTTTTATTTAGAAAATTCGAATCTTTTTCACCATGAAAGTTCACTTTGTGAGCATATATTCCCTAAAAAAACGGCACATTAATTTTCACCAACCGCCACTGATATTAGACAAGGCGAAAACCTCGCATTCGTGGGAGAAATTTTCCGACTTGATTTTTTTTGCATATTCAGATTCGTGAGATGTTCCTTAATATGAATCAAGATGATGCCGGCCGGAAATCTGGTGCCCATTTATTTAAACAAAATTTTTTTAAACAAATTATAAAAATTAGTTTTTTCACTCCGGAAAAGATACTGAAG